ACGGGCTGGAGAGACCATGAGATCCTACAAGCAGACATAGACGCCCTGCATTGCTGGGCAGTAAGAAACAAAATGAAGTTTCACCCAAATAAATGCAAGGTGCTCTCTATATCTAGCAAAATGAGTGAAAAGGGAATTTTGAGTTTTTTCCCCTTCCAGCTCTTTGTCTATACCCTAGATGGAACGGCACTAGACTTCGTCCAGAGTGAAAAAGACCTTGGGGTCTTTGTTAGAACTGACCTTAAGTGGGAGGAGAACATAGTCAACCTTTGTACGAAAGCTAGTTCTCGTCTAGGTCTAATGAAAAGAACTCTACGGTTTATTAACGACCGTAAACAAAAACGGGCATTCTATCTAGCGCTGGTTAGGAGCCTTTTCGAAAATTGCAGTGTTGTCTGGAGACCAACAAGTGTTGTCTTGAATAACAAAGTTGAAAACATTCAGCGCAGAGCAGTTAAGTGGATCCTTGGCGAACAGGATCATCACTATAATGACTTAGAATACCTGGCTCGTTTAAGAGAGCTAGACATGTTGCCAATGGAGCTGAAGTTTGAATACACAGACTTACTATTATTCCATCAGATATACAATGGTCAATCTGTTCTGAAGCTCCCACCTTATTTAACCCCGATAACAACCAGTGAACAGGGTAGGTTGCGTTCAAACATAAGGCAACCCTCGAGATATAATGAAGTTGATACATCTCAAATGCCTGATATCAACCAGAGGCGACAGAACAGACACGACCACCTTTCCCTGAAGTGTACTGTGGAAGCAAAAGCTCACTCCTTTAAGAGAAGCTTCTTCTTCAGAACACACAGTGTCTGGAATGACCTACCAACTGACCTTAAAGAGATAAGTGATGCCGGAACTTTTAAGGCAAACCTGGCAAAACACTTTTGGGACAAATTGACAGACCCTGACTAAGTTAATGAGTGCAAATGATATTTATATGTGGGCCCCCGCCACTGATAGATCGGTCACGATACTGAATATAACAACTATAATATAAAAAGAAATCTATTAAATAATATTAAATAACATTTACGTTCTGTCACCATGATTTGACCCTGGTGCAGTCCTCAGTTAATGTACTTAACTGGATTACGCGAACTTTATATCCGACTGTAATCTTGCTTTTAATCGCTGTGTGATGATACGCGCACAATTTTTGGCGCATTATGAGTCAGGTCATGGATACATTATGTATTTATTTTGATAATTCTAAATTTGCGTGTTTTAGATACATTTTGTGTGTTTAGATGGAGGTGGTGTTAGTGAGTCTGGGAGTAGAACTATTACTTGTAATACGTATACCCCCAGAACTTGTACCACTTAACCATGCTTTTAGTATTTATACAATATGGACTACAACTTTTACCCTACATATGCCTCATGATAATAATGTCGTATATTTTTAATTCTCTTTGCTGTATTGTATAATGTACTATTTGTAAAAGTTTCAAATCAAATCAAATCAAATCAAATCAACGTTTGTTTTATTTTGTTAAAAATTTGACAGTGGGACTGATAAACATTTTTTTTATATACAATAAAGTAATTCAAGTGTTGCAATTGGCAGAGCACAATACAGAGGTAACGGAAATTGTCCACTGCTACCAATATTATATAATATGGAATATCAAAAATCAAATATATACACATCTACTCCATCATAGGGGCAGGGATGAGGTTATAAGAGACTGATAAACATTGAACCTAAGAATATCCTTAATCTGGCCCCTGTATTGATGGCACATGACTGGCACTTGGCATAGCAGTAATAAAATTTGATCTTTTGAAGCAACGCCTTTTCAACATTTTACAAATTCAAAATTGCAAAAATAACATTACATGTATCACTTTCTCGAGAAAGTTTCACTGAGGGAAAAGGAGTCTTAAGATCAAGTAGACCCATTCATTCACCATTAGTTTTTTGACGTATTAAGGATCTAAGGATAATATACCTATGAAACATTTTTCTCAATACACAGGGCATCGAAGATACAATCAACATGGCAAAGGTAAATGTCCATTCGAAGATTTAAAATTTTGAGTATTAAGTTGTTGAAAATGTGAATGATCAAAAACAGTAACCAACAATGAACAAATCAAACTGCCAAATTAATTATTAAATAAAAGTTCTAGACAAGGGATAGTTAAAAACAACACCAAGTCTAATCTTTCCCCAAAGCAAATAACTAAATATCAAAAGTTCATTGTAATTTTTGTCAATATTTATTGTTTGCTCTAACCAGAGCCCTCTCGCTTGCAGTAGCGCGCGACCGTGGCAAGCTAAGGAGTATATTACTGGGCCGCGCTCAGCCTGTCATTCTGCCTAATCTCTATATGTTTATGAACATGATAGCCTGAGGTCCCCAAGTAAGGAGTATATTCTACTTGTGAAACAAGCGCGTCACGCAGTACGCGTATACACATGGCTATGCATGAAATCTATTGTCATAAGCTAAATTTCGGAGATAATACAGATCAAAAATATTATTCATATAAAGATTTTTTATAATTTTTCATAAATCATGCACAATCAGCGATAATATATTGCTTTGGGGTCTTCCTTTTCTCAGCTTGGTAAGTCCAGTGTATTGATGGCAAAAATGAGGTAAGAAAACGCTGGTCCGTCAACAGGACCCCTTAAAATATGTTCAATGTTTTTAACTTTCTCCACCGACTACGGGCCACTTTTTCTGACAATGGTTCAGCATTTGGCATTGCAGCGTTTATACAAGTTTTTGTCAGAGAATTACAAACATTTTGGACTAATTATTCGCAACGTTTGTTAATTGACGATGTCAATTCATGGCAGCTCGGCGCGGCACAGTAGCGCATCGCGCTACAACAACGGGTGTTACTCTTGACGGATGGTACTTGTCTAAATTTTATCGAAGTAGAGCGCGACTCAGCGCGCTCCTAGCTTTCTTCTCGAAATATTGGCCAGAGGTATTTAATCATTCATTGTCATACGTTGTATGACCAGCCGCGCACGAGTGCGCGGCTCCCCTGTATCGTAGAAATTCTATAGAGTGGGTTCCACCATATAGTGAAACGACCGTGGGGGTCACGACGTGATACAAATCATCCAAAAGCTTTGTAAAGTTTTAAAATATTAAATAATTTACTACCAGACGCATACTATTCCATATTTGTATTTATAATTATATTCATTAATTCCTCCAAAGTACTTGATTCACGATGTCAATCCTTCGCATCTCGCCGATCTGCATACGTGGTTGCGAGAAGAATTATTTGATGCGCGGCGCGACCCAGTAGTGCATCGCGCTACAATGAAATTGCTTGTCATACGTTGTATGACCCGCCGCGCACGAGTGCGCGGCTCCCCCTGTATCGCCGAAACTCTACAGGGGTTTCCACTATAGTGAAGCGACCGTAGGGTCACCACATGATACAAGAAATTGCTACATTACGTAAGCCAAGCTTCGCATACGAACATGTGTAATTTAATTATGCATAATGACTTGAAAATTAGTGGAAGATGATTTTTAAAAACGTCTTATTTATAATTTAACGGGTGATACTCGTAAAATATTTGTTCCATATATTAGGACCGTCGACGAGTCCAACTCGGCGCGCGTCCTAGTAGGTTATAAACCTACAAATATATAATATACTACATACTAGGCACTAGGGATATGTGCGCTTGTGGCTACTGGCTTGGTAAATCATAAATTTTCGATACATAGCTTGATACATACATATATAGCTTTATTATTGCAGTCTTACTTTATAAGATAACCTATGTTTGTAGGTTTACAACCTACCGCAAGACGCGCGCCGAGTTGGACTAATATATGGAACAGATATTATACGAGTATCACCCGTTAACTTGTTGTTCATTGTTAATGAACTGGCCGACGGCCGTGACCTGGTGAGCGCTTTTTCGTAGCATTTCATGCCTCGGGACATAAGTACTTCGAAGAATGAAGAAATTTAGACAAGTAACATTAGTCATTGCAATTAATTGAAATTGTTAATCTTTCCGCGCTGCTCGGCGTGGTCCATATAATAATATTATAATTCGAAAGATTCTTTTTTACGACCGCCCACGTGCAAATCAGACGAAAAATATGAACTTGCGTAGTAACCATGGTAACGAAGGTTATTACACGTGCACGTGCAATGATTTGTGATTGTTTTAACGTCATTTTGATCGGTTTTGTTGATCATATTACGCTGTGTTTATATTAGTAGAAACAATATTTAAATTGGCTGTATCTTCGGTTTTGTAGGATATTATTTGACGCGATTTAAACTTACTAACAAAAAACACTATTAGCTTCCTCCCTGTGACCACGGGTTTTCTAGTAGTAATATAATACAGTGCATGGCGCATCTGATTGCCTATCTAACGAAGATCTTAGATCCCAGTAGTGCTAAGTGCAATGCACTAAAAATAGCGCTAACAAATCCGTCAATGTTACTTTGTGCTTTGAAGCTTTTGTAAATTGTAAGGATTTGCTCAGTGCATGTAATGGGATAATATTTCGTTATAAGAAATTGATCAGATCCGTCAACAACTTATATCATGCATATTGCATAAGCTGTGGGAACGTTTTTCAATTTGAATTAACGTTAGATATAAATGCCATGCATATGATTGTGAATTGAACTAAATCTTAACTTACCTCAGGCTATCATGTTCATTATGCATTATGATTAACATAATAGAGATTCGAATAGAGATTCGGCGGAATGACAGGCTGAGCGCGGCCCAGTATAATCTTAACGGGTGATACTCGTAAAATATTCGTTCCAAATATCAGGACCGTCGACGAGTCCAACTCGGCGCGCGTCCTGGTAGGTTATAAACCTACAAACTAAATCAGTCGATTTAAAGTTATTATAATTAACTATTAACTGTCATGCAACGTTAATATAATCGATATTTATTTCTATTGATTCACGTCTCACGATTAACAAAAATGGGGACTTTAGCTTTATCAGAAACTGACAAAAAACAATGATCATTAGATCGAAATACGATCAGCTGACGTACTTTATATTGATAATAAACTATTTTAAAAGTATACATATTGTTCTGAGATTTTAATATAGTAAATACAAATGATAAATTTCAAGATCAATGGCTTTTAAACTTAAAGCACATGCATGATTGAACAAACAAAAAATAACTCCACACTGTACTATATTGACATTGTGTAATGTGTATCAGCACTCCAATCGAAGTGATATTATGATATTGATTTTACATCCCAATTTCATCAGAAAGTCTTCCTATTCAATGTCTCGATCTGAAAGTTCTTTGAAAATCTCAGAAAGTCTTTGAATGGCTCATAAACTCTTGTTATTAGATTTTGTTAAGTCTAACAAGGACGGGTTGCTTTCGTTTCGAGTGTGGGCTGGGATTGTACGCACAAACGAACTCCCTGAAATTGGAAGGTCATTATTCATCAAGCAGTTATTATTAATTATTATATTTATACGGCAAAAGATGCACATCATTTTAGGGGTACCACTTTCGTAGATTATTTAATATTTACCTTTTGAAATCTTACTCAGTACTCATATCTGACATAGTGCTAAATTCAAAATTTAATTTGATACTAGGTAACTAACTTAAACAAAGAAAGCGGAATATCTGGGGCGGACGAGGGTTCAATGTATTGATCCCGAGATATCACGACTTGTTGATCCTGACCGTCATGATCTAATTCCCATGCCTTATAGTTGCACCTGTGAAAGTGAGCGTCAAAAATACCTAACATTGTTTGTATTAATTTTCGACTTAAGCTTATTCTTAACTGGTTTGACTATCTGAGAAATAATCGATGAGCTTACAGTTATAATTATAGCTAGTACTAGTAGTAGGATAAGTAAGGTTATCTTTACCTGTCGGAAGTTTTTCTAGGTGTCTCAAGTTCTCCTCCAGCAGTAAAACACAATCTGGGAAATCTTGACTCTTGTTGAGACGATGGTTGAGATTGCGTTACTCTTGGCGGATTGATCCCTGATGAGTGTAATTCAAAAGTGGATGATCACGTCAAAACACGGTTAATGCTAATACTCATATAATATTACATGTAAATCGACATGCACAGTGCCAGCATCATCAATATTTTGACGACCCTCATCTCCTTTGATTTTGATTTATCGGCGTGCGGTTTGAATAAGCGGGGAATGTTTCGTAACTTGTCACTTGCAAGATCAAAGATGAATCAATGATTTAATATTACTCTATATGCGGCGGTTGGAAAATTGTTTGTAAGACGCTTTGAATGACCACATTTAAAACCATTGTTATGCTGATTTTACATTTTCCAGTCGGAATGTCTCATTGCGGTCCGTCAAATTCCATGTTTTTCACAATTTATTCAGATTTAAATATCTAAACTTAAAGTGAGGAAAAAAAATGATAAGCACACAAGTGACAAACGAATTAATTTTAAGCAGCTAATTTTTACATAATGAAATCGCAAATCAAACTGTTTATACTTGAAATCTTAAAAAGTTTGCAGTAACTAGTGGTTTAGAAAGAAAGATCTAGAAAAAAAGATCAACTGTACCTGTTTTGGAACGTTGTATTTTATCCTCTGGAATTGTTGGTAGTTCAATAACTGTTGCCTGGTCCCATTTATATTTGTGAATTTTAAATCTGGTGTCCTGTATTAAAAAGAATCAACAAAAAGAAAATAGTTAACATGTTTTGTTGCGAAGAAAGTTCTAGCAAAAGGACCACATCAATATTTATAGAAAACTTCGAAAGAAAACAAAAGAAAGAAACAAGGGTTCACAACCAACAACTTTCGCGTACGTTAAACTTGCGTTTTTCCTTTTCCCGGTTCCCTTCTTTTCTCCAGGGATTCGTCCGAGACCGGTTGCTTCTAACAACAAGTCTTAATTGCTCTTTAAAGAACAGAAGTTCTAGGTTCCTCTCCATCTTCTCAGTCGGATCCTCCGTCGGAGGAACACATGAAGACGTCATAATAACGTTTCCCAGAAGTCTCGATTTTGTTAAAATACAGTGTACAGAAGGTGTTACAATTTTCAAAAGTCTTGAACTCGTTGGTTTGAAATACAGAATATCTTTTAGTTCTTTCCACCGTATATCTTTATCTATTTACACAAATACAAGCTTAAGAAGACCTACGCCCGAAATAATTTTCCGATATAATCGATTTCAGATCCGTCACCAATCTCAACAACCACAAAAAGCTATAACTCAAACCGGAAACCAACAGCAATAAAAGGACAATGCGACTTATCCAGCTCCACACGTGACACGACAAATTATCAATAAGTCGTTTCTTAACCGTTATACTGTTGTACAAACCGTGCAACAGTCCGAATCATTTAAACTAACAACAATCGGAATAACAAAGCACGCTAAGTGCCAATCACATAGTGAGGGAGACGACACCACTAAGGCTGCTTGTTGGGAAAGAAGTGCATGTAAAAATTATTACATAACGTTAAAAGTAATGTGTTAGAGTTAGACAACGAGTTGCGGCGGGAGTTAATTAACGGAATAACATTTTGAGGATTTATCACTATCAGTTACAGATGTGAATATCTTTAACATCTATAACTATAGATGTTAGAGATATACAAAAAACGCACGAAAAAAAAACCTAATGGTACGGTTATCTTACAGTTATATGTTATTAAATAACACTGTATGTCATGCAGTGTATATAAAAGCAGTGGTCTGTTTGGTTTTCAGCTTTACAACATGTAATCGTGTTAATGTTATCGGCAGCCTGTTATCTATTTGGATTATACATAGAAAGAGATAATACGGTTTAGAATCGATGACCTCAATCCGAAAAAATTACTTTTTACAGGACGGCACGAAACAGCACAGCACAAAAGGATCCCTGGACACGACTCACTCACTCAGCACAATTTTGGGTTCGACACAAAAACTTAAACTAAAAGACATGGCATGGCACGACGAAATCCTTAGACGCCATCAATTTCATCACGCCAATCGCGGACATTGAATAAACCGTAACGTTGTATAGTTCACCTTGACACACGCTGCAACCCCTTATCATACTCTGCATACCCCGCGCCACCTCTCAGGCGCGCCACCTCTCAGCCACCACTCGTAGGTACGTGGGAACTCGAGTAGTAAGACTAAGAAGAGTTTAAAATGTTCTAGAATCTTTCTTGCTGAATGAATTAACTCTATTTATTGGAGACTATTTTCACTACTAGTACTAACTAAAACCGTCTTTCAAAAGCTCAATATGCTTGTCGTAGCGGTAAAACGATGACTATGGTCACAAATTTCAATTTTTTGACGTAAACGTCCTGTATGTAGTAGAAATAAAACCATTTTATCTTGTATAAAATTAAAACCTATCGCAATTTTTTATTACTTCTTAAAAAATGGGTTTATATTTTAAACTAAAATTTAAATTCAACCAAATCGGTTACGTGTTTGTATAACTGTAAAAATTAGCAAACTCAAGAAAACCGTTATAATGATAATAATATCCTTGCCTAAATCTTGTTGGAAATCTAAATGAGAATAAAACATACATAAAACGTAATAATTTCATTTGATCAGCATGATTTGAACAAGATTTTATTTGTCTTATCAAATCTGCACCAAATAATACCGTTCCACATTAACCACAGCTTAATGTAATAGTCTTCACATACAATAACATTGGCTACCTTGATTCTTAATTGTAAAATATCTTTACAGTTTAATCTAGATAAAAATCATGAAATGATAACCTCTACAAGGGCGACCTAACAGATAAAAAAACATTATTACATACTAATGAAACGGAAATTCCTAAGCTAAATCCGGTTTCAAAATTGACCAACCCTTCTTTGTTTACAGGTCAACTTGTTCATGCCAAAACCACACAACTTTATTATGTTGTCCTATACCCAATCAAATAGTTAACCTAATCACTTAATAAACTAGCTAATTACCCGATTAACAAGTCAATCTACCACGTACTAGTTAATCGCCAAGGAATCCTAAAAATGCGGGTAAAAATATAATGGTATGTGCCACACACAAAACATTAATTGTAAAGAACATTTTGAAATAAAAGATAACAAAAAGCTGGGATTTAGCGGCCGCAAGAACTATCACCCCAACAAAGTTCGTCATGGCAATCCCACTTACAATAGCAGGTCCAGTCTTTCTCACCGCACTTCTAGCCTTCTTCATCCTCCCCACCTCTTTGCTCATAGTATACGCTTGTACAATATTAGCTGAAAACTCCACAGCAATTCCAACTGACATGAGAAGGTTAACCAGAGATAAGGCATTTAGAGGGATATCCAGGTACACCATGCTCCCGATCATATCCACTGTGCACATTGTTACAGACAGCATCACACACAGTGCCGCATGGACCTGGAACCCTAGCAGCACTAATGCGACTATGAAAGTAGCTATTACAGTGACCACCAGATTAACCGCGCATTCACGCACGATAGTATCGTACTGCTCGTAGTACGGGTAGAAAGAAGAGTAAGCGTACACTTGGATGATGTCATTGTTAGCGTTCACCTCGTCTGCAATCACCAGGGCTTGTTGTCGGGCGGTGATGAAGTCGTGAGATGTGGAGAGTCTGCCGTGGGAGGAAGTGAAGCGACCAGAGATAACGGATCTGTTTGAGGAGGAGAACTTGACGCTGTTGGAGTGGGAGACTGCTCCACCTGGGGGAGGGAGGCGGTGTTAATTATATAATACCACTTTAACATGTACAATTAATAAACTAACCAATTAAATGGGCACCTTGCAAGAGTGAACTATTCGGGTGGTTCAAATATTTTACTGTCACTGAAAGAGAAACAAAATATTGTTACCTTTAGAACACCCAGACCCATCTGTTCTAGGAACATCAGATATGAACCACTGCATGTACTTATACTTTGTTTCATCAGTCAGACTATCTCTATCACACTCCCCACAACCCTCTCTCTCCTCTATCGACGGACAGAACTGGTCCCCTTATTCCAGCAACATGGATCTGATTCCAGCCAGTTTTCACTGAACACTTGCATGAATGAGCTTCCCTTACCGGTGATATACTGAAAATCTACTGAATCTCCGTATTTATTGATAGTTCTGAGTAACGAGTCTGTGTTTGAGATTAGCTCTCCGTATGTTTTATCTTCGTATACATCTAAAGGTGAGCCGTCTTTAGATTTAAAAACAAAAGACATTCCAGGTCCTATCCTATAGTCATTGTAGGCGATGTGGTAATAGTCGAGAAGATACGAGTCACTGGGTAGAGCCATGGTAGGTTCTAGACCTAATTTGAGGTCCGGTATCAACATGACGTTAGCAATTGTGAAACAGCCGAAGAAGATGAGGATAAACGCAGGGATCCATTTGTTGTAAAGCAGATATTTGGACCAGTATTCTTCAATAAACCATCTTGTGGGACCTCTGTCGGCTTGGCTCAGTTCAGTTTTTACGCAGCATAGCACATCGAGCCTGGACAATTTGAAATGATTTCAACCGATAGACAAATTAGATTAAAGTTCCAGAATAATCTATGTGATGAGTTGTTCACATGCTCCAAAATCGCATCATTAATATTAATTTTGTAAATAGTGTATTGTAAAATAATTTTGTAAATAGTGCCTGACACACAACCTATGTGATCTAATAAACCACTGAGGTCACAGCCAGATCACTATTGACCTACTTGGCAATGTGAATTATTTACCTGCCGCTGAGCTGCCTCTTGAGATCCAAACGTATAAGAATCAAGAACACAGTGCTCTGTAAGATAAAGTTCATAAGCAGAGCAATGGTAGCGTTGTAGGCAAAGTTCTGGACAGAGGGCATGAAGGAGAGAGACCCAAGAGCGAATGCTACCTGAATGAAGGGCAGATTAGATACGATAAATTTAAAATTTCAGAGAATTAGAGATTAGATAAGATACACAAATCGGATTACCCGTTCAAAAATATCTATCAAAGTCAACGCGTTCTTTGAATCGTAGATCATACGTAACGGCGGATTTCAATTTAAGTTACCCGATCAAATGGCAATCACTAAATGTTAAAACGTATAAAATAAAGTTAGAAAACTTACCATCTGACAGAGTGAACTGAGGATCATGGCAGGGAACACATCCCTCATCATTGAGCTCAAGATCCCTCTAATAGCTGTAGAGTTGAGGGTCTCATCCCGCTCTATCTTCTCGCTGATTATCCGCTGTATTCCCTGTTACAATTACTGTTGTTAGGTCGGGCAGATTGAGACTCAGAAGTTTACTGACGCCCGAAGTCATCGCCTATTTTGTTTTAATGGATTAAATGTCAAAGATGTTCACGTGTAAAATAGAGAATTTTAAAAATTACGTTTCCTTAAAACGGGTTTGTAGGAAGAAAGTCTAGACCTTTTTATCTGAGAATCACACAAACCTGCACCATGATGTAAACATTGTCCACTCCGACAGCTAAAATCAAGAAGGGTATAACTTCAACAACTATCAGTGTAGTAGGGAGTCCAGCGTAGGACGTCGCGCCCAGAGCACTCACCACGCTTACCAGTACTATGACGACGCCTCCCACCCCTAGCAACGCCTGGGATTGGTTTGATTTTTGCACGTGGGACTTATGAGCGGTTCTGATTGGTTGGTAGTTATAGCTGCTTTGGGAATGACCACGCTGCAAGGGGGGTTCTATTGCACGTTAAAGAGTGAATTTTACATGCAATAAAACCATGCAGATAGCAGGATCAGCCGTGCAAAAATTAACACATTATGCAATAATAAAAAGACGAAATTTATCAAAATGGGTTTTTTAACATGTTTTATAACTCAGCTCCTACCTTTGAGTTGAGTAGGCAACCTTTAAAGGAACAGTCAATGTCCCCGAGTGTTATTCCTACATACACGAACATTAGAATGTAACTCAGCACAATAGTAAAGATATCCGCGTGAGAGGCCCTGTTTATCTCGTCCTGGGAGAATGTTGAGGTTATTGAGGTTACTGAGGTTATTATAGAGTTTATTGAGGTTGTAGTTGAGGTTAATGATAATGAAAATGTGGGAGACTGGAGTGTCTTGTAGATTTGTCTGTTAGAGCTTAAACAGATGAATGTAACATGTGCAATGCGCATGACTATATTTATACTACTGATAACGTTACACAACTGATGACGTCATACCTCTAAAGCCCTGTCAGTACTAAACGTTATCTTCAGATCAGTTCTTCTTCCCGTCTCCTCTAACAAGTACTCCTTCATAGCTGTCTCCCACTTCAAGATATTATCTAGTTTCGTGTCTGATCCGTCTAGAGCGAAAGTAACCGCCAGTAGGGTTGAGTCCATGTAGTCGAGATCCTTAGCGTCGTAACCACCCAGTACGATGTTAGTAGCAGAGGGTCCCCGGAATGAGGCTAGACATTCCGGTAAAGCTGTAGCTTCTGCACATAACTCCATTCTGAGAGAGGTATGAGTTATCACTACAACAGTTATCATTCTACACGAGCTTGCTGCTAGCATTGTTGTTCGAGCAAGGTTCTTTTATCAAATTAGCATGTTTTGATAAGGTGATAAGTATAACTCAGATAAGGTACGGATAAACCTACCTCTTGATATACTCGGTAGGGTTATCCAGAATGTTTCTATCGTTATCCATCCACTGGAAGACAGACAGAGTAGCACAATCCTCTCTTGGGTTGGTCTTGTTGAATTCTCCGAGCGGCTTGTAGCACAAGTCCGAGTATGATACTTCACCCACTGTAAAGGTTGTTTGTTAAACTAAACAAATTTTAAGTTAGCGGTTAAAGTATAGTAACCATAACTAATCGTTGTTGATTGCTGCTCTTATTGATGATGCAATTTCCAAGATACAGGGACAGCAATGAGCTTGATTCCTTAAAGGGACAAAAGTAGAACGTACCTTTTAGAGACTCGATAGCAACCATCATGTCGTAAGTTTGTTTCATTATATCGGGGTTAAAGATTCCGTTAACAACTTTATTGTTAACTCCGAATGTTGAGGGTGATCTCTCTTTGATTACCATCTGAAAGGGAACAAAAACTTTAAACTTAGATTAAGAGAATGTTCCGTGTGAGAATGAATTTAATTATCTTATCAATGGGTATCTTATCAGTAGGGCGATCTATGAATATTGACTATCATGAATAATGAATATTTGTTTTCTGAGCTTTGAAAATGAGTTATTAAAAGGGTGAAGGTGAGCAGAAAATGAACAAAAAGGAGAAATATAAACTTTGAGATTACCTGACAAGTACGATACGTAGTTCCAAACTGACTGTCAAAGTCAATCTTCTGCATCCTACTGATACTGTCTTTTGAAGTCCACAGTTCCACTGGATCCGTCGTGATCCTGAAACAGAAGATTATGTGAATCACTCTCGTGAGATTTGTATTAAGAGATTGATATTTAACCGGGGGGGGGGGGGGGGGGGGGGGTGCAGGTACTTTTTTGATGGAACATAACCCTAAAAGTACCCGAGGGGTGGGTGGGTGTTTATTGAAATTTTCGAAAAGTATCATGGTACTTTTTTTGTCCCAAAAAAAAAGAATTGGTACCCCAAAACATGATTATAAAAGTACATGGTACTTTTTCATTACCAAAATGTTAGAATTGGGTTTTTCTGAAATTATACCTAGCTTGTTGTAGATCTAATTGGGTTTTTCTGACATTATACCTAGCTTGTTGTAGATCTAATTGGGGTTTTCTGAAATTATACCTAGCTTGTCGTAGATCTAATTGGGTTTTTCTGAAATTCCCGAAATTATACCTAGCTTGTTGTAGATCTAATTGGGTTTTTCTGAAATTATACCTAGCTTGTTGTAGATCTAATTGGGGTTTTCTGAAATTATACCTAGCTCGGTGTAGATCTAATTGGGTTTTTCTGAAATTATACCTAGCTTGTTGTAGATCTAATTGGGTTTTTCTGAAATTATACCTAGCTCGGTGTAGATCTAATTGGGTTTTTCTGAAATGATACCTTCCCCCTTTAGATATAATTGCAATTTCTGTAGCGGAAAACCTTAAAAAACCTTAAATTTGCACTTTATTGCATTACGTTTGTCCAAACTTTCGCACTGTGGACCTTAAAAAACCTTGAATTTAACTGTTTTGGACCTTAAAAATGGGTCAAAAGGGGCCCTAAAAGATGTGAAAAAACCTTAAAAATGACTCTCAAAAATGCCGGCAACCCTGCTCACAAGTCACATCGAGGTGTCAGAACATCTTCAGTTTAGGAAAACTGATAAACAGGAATTTTTTTAAAAAAAGGAGGGGGTGGGGGGTCATTCGGGAAAATTTCGAAAAGTACCGTGGTACTTTTTTGAAATTTCGAAAAGTACCGTGGTACTTTTTTGTTATTCCATTCGTGAAGGAGGTGGGTGGGTGGTTTTTTTCAGAAATTTCGAAAAGTCAGCATTTGTTCCATCAAAAAAGTACCTGCACCCCCCCCCCCCCCCCCCCCCCAATTTAACTGATTAGGTTTTATGAAATTATAATTTAGCACTAAGATTAACATTAGATATCGATCTCTAGTGTTTATAATAATAAAGATTATTTTATAAAACAACTAACTAACTAATGTTAATTAATGCTAATTAATACAATGGTTGACTGACCTGAAGTTGTACCAGCCCCCACAGCATACACCAGCCAGAATGAAACATACTACCAGCACGATGTACCAGTAATCAAACACCAAATTGGACCAACAGTCACCTGTTTTGGCAATCAGTTAGATATTATATTATTATCCCAAATAATATTATATTATTAGCTCAAACGTAAACAAAGAAATCAGTTCGAATTGTTAAGTTGTACTTAGATTAGTTTGGCGAGGGCACTTTAGATTGTTTATCGAATCTTTGCTTAAATTATTCCCTAGCCAAATATCAAATATCTTATCAGGATTTAGGATATAAATTTATCTGAACTTACCTAATCATACATTTTATAAATACGTTTAGTTATCTGAACTTACCTAATCTTGGGCCGAGTCGGAGCCAGCATTGATAAGCAGGTTCCTGTTTCTTCTTTACAAGTGACCTATTTTCGTATTCTGTGGGAGGATTTATGTCATGATTATATTATTTTTGTGCGATAACTTGAAGAATAAGAACCATAGACTTGATTTAAGAATATAAAATGTTCACAGACAATGAATGTATATTTTGTGAATTGGTTGGAGAGGATCTAGCTGAATTAACAATCTGTGGGTGCAAATGTAATCACAGAGACATGCTTATAAGATAAAACAATCAAAAAGCGTTAATTGGATGCATCGCTTGTTGAACAGACATCATTTCAGTTACAAGAGTAAGAATTATCTTCAATAAGAAGAATCAGAGTGATCGGTACTAACTGATAACCCCTGCTATTATATTAATTAAGTGAATCTGTACCAATTCCTTCTGTCATAATTAACAGAAGCACTATTCATTTCGGAAAATCACATATTTTTGAGTCAAAACGTTTGACATGATGCATACCGTTACTATTTCCATTCACCAACATCACTTCGACTTCTTCTATACAGGCCCCATTTTCACCATGATGATTTGGCATTTCAGAAATTCCATCATCTGAATGTATTAAAATTCTTTTTTTCTTCGTTCAAAGAGAAATGCAAATTTTTTCCGTACAAATGAACGATAACAATCTTTATGTAAATAGCATGGATTTACTGGATATGTGATCATTATTTTGTGATTTTATGATATGTTATTTAGGTGTCTGGTATTAGAAGAGGACTTGAGCTATATAAACTATAAAGTTGAATGAAGGACTAGTTTTAATTCTAAATGAAAAGCTCGAATACGATGAGATGTTTAGATACCATGAACAAAAGTGCTATGAAGGTAGATGAAGAGATCATCTTTTTTCTGCCGTCTCTTGTGAACTAAAAAATGAATAAAATTCCGTTATGTATTTATGCACTTTGAATTATGCTTATCCTGAAAATCGTGTTCATGCTGCTAACTTACGAACTTTTGACTCCTCAGTCATTTGTCTCTGTGTCTCATGGTGATATTTGAATGAAGTGAAGGTCTGAGTCACGTTCTCTAAAACATATTTTAAATTCCTGAAACTTCCTTCTATTCTGGGGATTGTATTGAAAAACATTCAGCAAATACAACAGCAACAGTAACTGCAAGTCAAATGCAGAGCTCACGTTGATCTGGCAACAAGGGTATAAGTAAGCCACAACGTTGCGAACACAACAGCTAAAAATGCTTCACTCGCTCATGAAAAGGAGAAAGTATGTAGAAACTTCACATATATTACCCAAGCCCTCCCACTCCCTCCCTCTGTGGCTCTGTAATTACTTTAAGACGCAATAATAGCGTAGAAATTACACTAGCAAGCAATTCTAAACCTTGACCCGAAATGCTAGCTTACTTTATATGTGAACTCTCCTCTTTGAATTCAATGAACAAAACTGCTTTACATGAATCTATCTAGCAATCATACTTCGAAGAGAACCACCTAATTGACTAATTAACTAATTAATTACCAGTAGTAGGCAGAGGGGATGCAGTGCTAGCTACGGAGAGGTTTGGAGAGAGAGGAACATCATTAGGACGGGAAAGTTCAGGGGAGATTGAGGTGCCGTACTCTGCGTTACCGTTCTGATGCGTCTAATCAGGGTGGAGGTTATTATATTATTACACAAATTGTAGTGTTAAACTACACTAAATATCTTACTTCATTTCTCCGATATAAATTAAGGGTTAGCATGATTATTATAGCAATCCGAGTGAGTGGAAAAGAATAGAAACTTGAAGCTGATAGTCAAAGTTGATTAAGCATAAGCTTGATCGAGCCTCGTGAAATGGATTAATAGAAGACTAAAATTACTTACTTAATTAATAGATTAATTAATTAATTAATTACTTAATTAATTAATATAAGATTAATTAATTAATTGATATAAAACATACAGGAACAGGGCTTGTTAGTTCGGCTCCCTTGTTATCTAGTCCGGTAGCAGCTACTTGCTTTATTTCTATAATATCTGAAGTATTAGTAATTTAATTCTTGGATTAAATATTTTCAGACAATAAATATTTTAGTACTTTATTTATCAAACAAATTAATGATCACAGTGGACAAAAGTTGGTAATTAGATCACTTTACAACATTTGGATCACACATCACAACCACGTATCGCACTCATACATCACAACTTAATATTGAAAATCTTTGATTTTTAGACCCTACGATCGAAAACTACAGACAAAAAGAACTAAAATCCACTATAATATAATAGTAACTAGCCGAGTTACTAAGGCAACTAATTTGGTTGCTATAGTAACTTGTGCCCGTTGCTATGGTAACTAGTGCCCCAAACTAAGAAACACGAAAGTAGAACACCTGTCTGATTACTTGTAGTAGTTTTAGTTTTGTGTAGGAATGTGAGGACTACAACTAGTATTATCCAGACCAGGCAGAGAGCCAGTCCTACTGGCAGAGTGTAGTGCCAGGTCCTGGGGAGGATGGGTTAGTGGTTAATAAGTAATTAGTAATTAGTAATTAGTAATTAGTAATTAGTAATTAGTAATTAGTAATTAGTAATTAGTATTTAGTAATTAGTAATTAGATATTGAATCATTGATGTGTTAATTGATATGAGACTTGTTTTTAAATTTTTTTGGTTTTAATCTGACAAAAGGTCTTATGAGTTATGTGGACGTCGAATCATCTAAATCTCACCGATTAAATCGTAAACTTTTTGCAATGGTACTAATATTATAATTAAAACATATCAATATTATTTATTAACAAGTCTGACTTAGTTATAGTAGTTACTTTATACTTACTTGATTGTGTTCTTATCTACAAACACTGGGCATGTGATCTGCTCACAGTTGTAGCAGTCACATGTCTTGTTGTTTACAGTATCCGAACAGTCAAACACATCCTGATGAAGAATTCAGTGTTAGAAATATAAGTTAAGTTAACAATGTTAGAAATATTGGAAATTTTAAAAGTAAAGAAAAAAAGTGAAAGGTGAAAAAGCGAGATTCCAAAATTGGATGCAAAGAATCTCACTTTTTTTCACATGGACTACCCCTTCCTACACTTAATGATCTTTATTCAACCCAACACACGTTGGTGTATTATTAGCAACTTAAGTTCTAACCTCATCAGTTTTAGGCTTCACGTACTCTACAGAGGAAGTATCCTGGACGATGAACTCTACTTTTAGGTCTGTGTAAGCGTTATCTCCTAGCTTCACGTAGAATGTCTTCTGGTCACAGTCAGCACTTCCACACACGTACACGATCCCTGGATGAGGGTTTAGTTAAAATGTCTACTTGAGATAAAACGCAATCACTTTTAAGATAAGAAGTTCCACTTTCAAACACAGGTTTTAGACGGGATGTTTTAATTTCGATATTGAGTTTAAATTTTCAACTTTAATCTTTTAATTGAACAGTAAAATTCACATAGGGAAGTAAAAATTATCACCCATCGAGCACAGTTTCCTGAAGACCCAAATTTCTCGGTTACCTACCAATTCCGCCGGAGATGGAATCCCGCACGTTCTTGCAAGCGTCGTAAATACGCCGCGCAGCATCTTTAGTGATGAAGTATCTGATACCGGACACTGTGGTCCTCGAATCAGTGGCATTCAAAGTCGAATTAGTTATCTGAAATAGGGAGAACCATCAATTGCAAAGCTCAAGAATGTCTGATAGTGATACAAAATATTGCACGAATAAGATAGATAGATAAATATTTCTAACAGAACCAATCATACCAGAAATTTCTAATCACACATGAAGACTATTATCAGCATACTTAAAATACCTGAATGAACTGGGCGTGGTTGGGATCACAAAAGAAAGCACATTCTATTGCCTGGAAGTCCCAGTAGCATGCATCACAACCGCCTATGATGTTCTTCACTACGTCCAACCTGAAATATTAGAGAATGTTAATTTTGTACATATAATACATGTAATAGGTAGGTCTCATCTAAAATTAACTGTTTTTGAACAAGTTTGATCGTTAAAAAGGTTTGTATCTTACTGTTTGATAAAGTCTTGGAGCTGATCTTTATCACAGCAAACATTCTCTTTATCTGCGTACTGGAAAATGTAAATTATACTACAGAGAGAACGGAAAAAGCATATGAAATAACCCCAGCCTCACCAAGATCACCAAGATTACCAAGATCACCAAGATCACCAAGATCACCAAGATCACCAAAATCACCAAGATCACCAAGATTACCAAGATCACCAAGATCACCAAGATCACCAAGATCACCAAGATCACTGATCAAACGTTTTGATAGTCTTTATATTTATGTATATTGTATAAGTAACTTATGTTTAGTTTTATATTTAATAGGCAAGTTATATCGATATTTCGACTAACCATAGGACAAGCAGTCTTCAAGAGTTGTAGGTGTTCATCGTCAGGTACTATTGGATCCACTGTATTATGAGCACAGGGTAAACTTGATCCACAGGAATTCTGAGGTGGGGAATGTGTTAGAAATGAGAATATAACAAGGATATAACAAGAATATAACAAGAATATAACATATAATACCTTCCGGGAATTATATCCACTAAAAGTCTCGGACACTGAGAGCTGATAATTTGCCGATATATCCCGCAAGGGAAGCATATAATAAACTAGAAACCCGCTAGTTGAAAGCTTTGTTCGAAGAAATTTAAAAAATCAGTTATGTTTTAATTTCTATTCATCATCTAGCTCTGTTATACTGTAGAAATTTTGGATTCTTTCGTCAAGTTTTAGATATAAATAGATATATTCTCGATTGTATTGCCTGAATAAATAGTATCTGGAGAGAATATTTGTAGGATACAATACTTGAGTAGGAACAGTGTGCCTCGTGACGTGTAAAGCTGTAGGTGCTTTGCACGACAATAGCTGGATAACGCAACATTGTTCACACTTCACACACGTTTCGTGTACCTTCTTAGCTTATCAATTACAGTGAATGGGATATTGAGTAGGGATAAGGGAATGTTATGACATGATTGGATCTTGTGATATAAAGTAACAGTAGCTCATCGCATGTAATCCTCAACAAGCTAGTATATTTTTACTACAAGCTTACAGGAAAAATGTTTCATCCTTTTATTTTGTTCTCGATAGACTCGGCCTGGGTCAGCTGCCTTATAAAGCGAAACAAATCTATTCATTGCTATAGCTCAATTTAGAACATGTTCACTTCTTAATTTCTAGCTTCTATGTACAGAGTTGTCATATGAACTCTACCCCAGATCTAGCCCATATTTTCTAGGTCAATTATATTCAATCCATGGATCACATCACTAATTATACGCCACAAGCTTCAAGCTTATTCACGCTGTTATCAATCTACCTTTTTGTTCGTATTGATTCGTGATCAAAGGGACCTGGGACAGTTACAATATTCCGTATTATTACAACCTGTTCCTGACCATATATTTATCTTGTACGATTTTAAAGCTTTTTTTTAGTATGAGTGTTGTGCCTTATAATATGGTAAACACTAGTTTTCTGCCTACCTAGCTCATAGGCTTCCTCAAACCTGTAAATCCACTAGCTGAAAGCTTTATTCAAGGAAATTTAAAATCAGTTATGTTATAGTTTCTTTTCATCATGAATCATCTATCTATCTACTTATCTATGATCTAGCAGCTAGCTCCGTAATATAAATTATATGGATTTTTATTTGCTGTTAACGATAAAGGTTTTATTTAATTCCCTAATCGATACTTTTCACCGCATCAAAAAACATCAATCACAACCACAGTTATGGATAAATTGTAAATTGTAATGTGAGCTGGTTATGACTACGTATCATAGAGCATGGCAACGCGCGTTGCTAATCTGTTCTTGCTCGCGCACGTGCAATCTCTTGATGTTGCTAAGCAACGACGCAGTTAACCTTTGCTAAAATAACGCCATTATTCTAACGTTTATTTTACCTCACTTCCGACGTTCGTTAATAATAATTATAAAAAATCTAAAGCAAGAAACCTCGATCAAAATTTTAAGAATGCTATATTCTATTCCTATCCTTTTTACAACCCTGATAAAAATGGCGAGGTTTCAACTCCATTTGCGAGCTGAAATTGGTGTCACCATAGGGTAATTTTTTGGTAATGTCCCCGTTGTCGGGGGGATTTCGTCAAGTTAAAATATAATACAGATAATATAGCATGAAACACATAACATAATATAACAGTATAAGCTTATAAAGTTATAAGGTATCAGGAATAATATGGCACTTTGCCTAAAATTAAATTGATATGAAACTCAATAATAATCTAAAATGATTTCTACCTGTAGGATACATTTCCCAGGTTCGTGTGTGTACTCATCGCTATAGTCCTCCGTATACACACAGAGCAGTAAACACGCTGATAGGACCGCCGCGGTAAGGGCTGATCTAGTGTTCATGGTTAGGAGAGAGAGGTTGTTACCGCACCATTACACAGTACCTATAAGTGGGCGGTAAAGTTAGCGGTGTAGTGAGAAAGGGAGCTTTCACTCGGTTTAAAACAGGGAAATGTATCAACTGTAACAAAATTTTATGATATAATAAAATTTCAAACAATTGAAACCATCAAATTGGCGGGCATACGATCCGTTTCATGGTATGGTTATAGAAAAAACAATACCAATCCTCAGTGCAGTTGAGCTCTCTCTTTGGGAAACCAAGCAACAACTATTTATTAATAGAATAAAATAAATATAATAATATGTAGTAGTCAGTGTAGCTTACGTTGCAATTATCGAGCTCTGTTATCTTTTGTAAATTGCGATAAGTTCAGTTTGATGCTACCGCGTAGTTAGCCTTTGCGTGTGTACTTGTACATTCCTATACAAGTACACTATGGAGGATGATCGTAAGGTGACCCAATCTCTGGACCAAATTCAAGGATTCGAGTATGATGAACAGACAAAATTGAAGGACAGTTGTACTAAGTGGTTCATTGCGCTGGGAAAAGAACTGAAAATAGACGAAGGAGATATTGGTGGAGAATATGGACAGAGAAATATTTATGGCTCCAACTGTCTATAAAAAGCATCTGGCACTTCGGCTTGTGGAAGCAATAGACCTCGTTCAACGGCATGAATGCCAGATGGCTAAAATGGAGGAGATCATATATTTCTTGAAGACGGAAGCGTTAGAAGACAAGGATAAGTTGATCAGGCTGCAGGGCCAGCTGCTTGTGCAGAAGGACAAAGAACTAGAGTTGTTTAAGACATCGGTTAAGAAGACAGTGCAAACAACGGTGGAGTCAGGGATTAAGAGCTACAGTGCAGCTGTACAACAGAAAGGTGAAAGTGGTACGGTCTGCGACAGTAACATACTGAAGAAGGTGATGAAGAGTGTGGCTGCAGAGGAGGACAGGAGCAAGAACCTGATTGTGTTTGGGTTGAAAGAAGAAGAGGGAGAACAGCTTCCAGCGCTAGTAACCGCAGTTCTGGAGGAGATTGGGGAGAAACCTCACTTCGAAGCGACTAGAGTCGGCAGGAAGATGACAGGTAGTACGACTATCCGACCAGTAAAGATCACTGTCCCAAGCTCAACAGCGGTTCAACAGATTCTGATGAAAACAGGAAGACTGAGGCTAGTTGAGACCCACAAAAATGTATGGATCTGTCCAGATAGATCTAGCGAAGAACGAGCAACGAGGAAACATCTGGTTACCGACCTGAAGAAGAAAAGGGCTGAACAGACTCATCTCGACCACTATATCCGGTACGGGAAAGTCTGTAGCCGTGATAAGAAACCACCATGAAGCAACTCATGTCTCTCGGACACTGATCAGTATTTGAATGAGTATTGTGTATCTTAATAGTTTTCGGACGTTATCTGTATTTGAGAGACAATTTTATAATTTATATACGAGCTATTTCTTGATTGTTTCACACTTCATATTTCATAATTTGTTTCACACTTCATATTTCATAATTTGTTTCACACTTCATATTTCATAATTTTATTACTAGGTGGAGGTGACGTTATTGAGACTTTGGGCGGCCATAAACCTCGTGTTTTAAAAGTTGTCCTCTGTACTTGTTTCACTGACCCACGCTTTATAGCATTTATACATTTCGGCCCATTTTATATGTTTGTTCGATTTGCTGTACATTTGTATATTTGCTATTTTGTAAAAGTTTCAAATCAAATCAAATCATATAAACGGAAGACAGGAGACACTTCAAAAGTTCAAAAATACTATTCAATTATCATAAAATTTAAAATATCAATCAAGAAAAGGATAAAACGAATTACTTTTTGAAATATATCTGACCATAAACTCAAATTGAAATACACACGTTTTCCGCAAGATACAGCTGATTAACGCTAGAAAACACACAATGATAATCTTGTAATCGAATTTCACCCCACATTCATGGACCGGCACAATTGTAAGAATTTCGAACGATTCGTGCTGAATCAAGAGATATATTAGAACTGCTCGAGAAGGTGTGGCTCGGGCAGACTTAGGATCTCACCATCAAGTATAAAACAGAAATTAAACAAAGGGATAACATAGAGCAGATGTTGTCACCGCATTATCACGAACAGCACGAACAAAGACAGAATAATAAGACTGGTACACGTGACCCTATAATGGTGTAGAGTACACACAACACACCGACAGAGATTGCTCAGTATACAAAGTACAAATTGCGTGCGGAGTAAGTAGGGAGTCAGTGGGGAGTAAGTTTAGACTTACTCCGCACGCAATTTGTACGCAGATTCAGTTCTAGGTATAAATAAGCGTACTGTAACGTACAGTGCCTTGTCTTTTGTCAGCATTGTTGCGTGTGCACTTTAATTTAGTTTAATGCGTGGTTTGTTCGCTTACCGCTCATTTACCGGAATCCGGATGTTTTGTAATTTGAGGATTCCAAATTTGGGGTATTTGAAGCGTGCAGTCTTTGAGCTTATCAGGTTAAATAATTTCGTGTTTTCATGAATCGTATTACAGTTTTTCTGTGAAGATTCTTTTTGAAAGTTAGTGTGATGTCAGTGTGGAGGTCAGCTGAAAGTCTGAACGGAAACTTTTAACATGGCCTCGTTGTGGTCGGTATATAATCTCTTCATGATTTAATTCTGCCATTTTTAATTACAACTTTTAGTCATCGCTTCAATATACTTTGTGCTACCTTATTCAACATGCGTAATGCACTAATACAGCAAGGCTGGAAGTGGACAAATTCAACCATTCGCCAATGGAAACTAATATGTAAATTGGTTTTGTAGTAAAAAAGCAAGTGAACAGATATAGGTCAAACTGAATGATTAATGAGGCACTGTAAAATATAAAACTACATCTGAATTTTGCTTGAGAAGAAGCCAAAAAACGAGCATAAGTTTAAAAACGAGTCCTTCATAATTTATCAAACCAGTTTCTTAAACCGGTAAATAAAAATACTTGTCAAGGAACTAGCACAACCGCTGTAATTCTAGAGTAAGTGGGAACAAGTGAAACAATCCTATGAGGTGATTATGATCAGATTATCTATATTACCTGATAAATAATAAAACCTAATTATTTCATTTTCAGAGTTTTATAGTCACAATTTTCGTATTACTCAGTTGATGAAGTAAAATATAATGTGACAAAGTAAAATATATTCGAAGAAATAGTGTTAAACATAATTTGTTGCTTACTAAGTTTGTTACTGTTGTCTTAAACGAATTTGTTGCTTTAATGTTGCCTTACTGTTATCTTAATGTTGTCTTAATGTTGTCTTATCGTTTGTTGTCTTATTGGTGTTTGTTGCGTTAATGCTGTCTTAATGTTGTCTTATTGTTGTCTTAATGTTGCATCGGTGTTCATTCTAGTTCCCGTCATAAGAAACAATTTATTGTGTGATAGTGTTAATATAGTTGCTGTTGTTGTCGTTGTTGAAACTGTGATTGAAATGTCGAGATGTGAAAAGCTGAACACATTTATAGAGGGGGGGGGGGGGGGGGGAGAGGAGGAACTTTGTATGAAACCTCGTTAAACTATAAGATCAATGTAATTAAAATTAAACTGGCAAATAAAAATACTTGTCAAGGAACTAGCACTGTAATTGTAAAGTAAGTGGGAACAAGTGAAACAACCGATTAAGTAATCAATGTCAATTGTAAAGAACCAAAAAGGCCCCGAATAATGTCATAACAAAAAAGCCCTCTGTGAGTTACAACAGGATTAAATATCTACACACCGGCAAGGTACACACCGGCAAGGTACAAACCGGCAACGTTATACTTCAACAAGGAATTCGCACAATCTGAATCACTACAGGAGAGCATAAAACTCAGAATTAACACAACTCTAGTGTCCACCATTGTGCTGATTCTAACTCAACCCCTTGTTAAAATTGGACATATACTAGGCTCTTGGCTATTTTCGTTGCACGAGTATAAAAGTATAAATGACGTTATCAACAATGAAATATATTGAAATGTGACTCGTGATGTGTTATGTGTAATAATGCACATAATATGCAGGTTTCTGTGAGTAATATTTGTGTCTAGACCGAGTGAGAGTCCTTGTTCGTTACTATCAGTTTAAGTTGTGAAGTATTCGTTGTGTTGTACTGCCAAATTTGTCACACTATTTAATCTAAATTGGTAGGGGGTAATAATGATTTTGTCATGAAGATGATAGCTCTAGGATTGAGTTTAACCACGCGAGATAATGTCTTGAGTATTTTATTCATTAAACTTAACTTCCTTGTGGACCATTTGCCAGTAAATTAAAGCTTTGTTTTCTATGGTGCATTGACGCCAGTATATTTGTTAAAAACTTACGTCTTAAACATGGGATCGATCAAACTTTACGATTTCTCTCCGGTCTATAACATTACCAGTACCATTACCAGTTAAACTATATAACTATATAAGAAGTATTGTTGTTATCTGTTTGTTGACGCGGGTGTGTGACGTGTGTTAAACGCATTGTACTGTTACTTCACACCTTTCACACCTTTGACAACGTTGACACAGTGCATACACACATGAAGATTGCAGAATACTGCATATGTTGCTTTTATCATGTTGTCAGAGCCACATCTTCATTACATAACACTAGTCATTTCATTATATAACACTAAATATAACAAGATTAAATTGATCAAAAACAAATCTACACAAGCTGTAAATACGTAAAGCTGTAAATACGTATACTCAAGCATATACCTAAACTCATTCATGTTCTAAATAAGAGTGACAAACGAAAAGGTAGCGACAAAGAGTGACAAAGTGACAAAGAGTGACAAAGTGACAAAGAGTGACAAACGAAAAGGTAGCGACTGAAGTAAAGGATATAATGTCGGGTATACTGATATCATTTTCAAAGTGAGCCGTTTGCACACTTGACTGTTACATACCTATTCCATATTTTGTAACTTTAATTATTTAACAAGATTATTAGTCATTAGTTAATCATGTCTTGCTAATGCTTAGCTTAATTTTGGTAATTATTCAATTATAAACCTGCACAGATTTACCTCTCAGCGACCCGTCCGTTTGTTGTTGAAGTTTAATATTTTCTTATTTTATTTCTTTTGAAATTTCCTGCCAGTTATTTTCCCGTTAAGTAACGAAAAAAATTATCAAAGGGGTTCATTCCTGTTTTTGAAACTTGTTACGTAGTTGCAAATTGTTTGAATTCTCGTGAGATTATGAAATTTTAAAATTAGGATTATGACCTTATCGAACGTTAAACCCCATAGCTTTTTACAGGACATCGTAAATCGTTCAATGACTGTAAACAAAGAAAAAGGGACATTATAAGTTGTGCCATTTCTTGCGTTTAAGTTGTCAGGAATAGGAAACAGCAAGACAATTAAACAAATACTCGCAGCGAAACAGAATTTAGTCGCAAAATAACTGTACAAAGTATTTGACGCGAATATAACACACCTACTACAACTTTTAAGCAACTCTGATCACTCTTAACAATAACAACAATATTATAAGCACTATAGCACCAGCAGGAGTAGCACCAGTAGCAACAAGTTAACACTTGTAGGCTTTACACTGCATTACTATCTCTGGTGATGTAATATCGCTATAGAGAGCTATAGAGAGTATGAGGTGATTATGACCAGATTATCAAACTATTCGCTTATTATTTGCGGGATCAGCTGAAAGTGGAACGCACAAGAAAGTAATATACCCATGCTTCCACAATCCACAACAAGGCGACAAGATGATACAGCAAGGGTCAGCATGAACGGGGTATGAAACTTGTGTTCCCGATGAAATTCCTCGCTTACACTAGCTTACACTAACTGGTAACTCTACTCAGTGCACATACATTATCATATTAATAGCAGTTATAGCTAGATGTGACCAGATCACCGCATTATATGAGGGTATAAGAGACAAACATTGTCTAGTCATTGGGCACAGTTTATTGTGTGATAGTGTTGATATAGTTGCTGTTGTTGTTGTTGAAACTGTGAATGAAATGTCGAGATGTGAAAAGCTGAACACATGTAGCTATAGAGAAGGGGGGGGGGGGGCGGGGAGAGGAGGAACTTTGTATGAAACCTCGTTAAACTATAAGATCAATTTAATTATGGTAAGATTTCCGTTAATGATTCTTCTGCAATGATTCACAAGACAAGAAATGGCGGTTAGAACTTTGTTTGATATTACTCCTTCCCAGATCGAAAAGAATACATACAGACCACACTAGTAGGAACAAGTTAACACTTGTAGGCTTTACACTGCATTACTATCTCTGGTGATGTAATAACACTATGGAGAGCATGAGGTGATTATGACCAGATTATCAAACTATTCGGTTATACGCGGGATCAGCTAAAAGTGGAATGCACAAGAAAATAATATATACCCACTTCCACAACAAAGCGACAAGAGTAAGACGATATTACAGCAAAGGTCAGCCTGAACGAGGTATGAAACTCGTGTTCCCGATGAAATTCCTCGCTTCCACTAGCTCACTACACATACATTATATAAATAGCAGTTATAGCTTGATGTGACCAGATCACCTCATTGATGGTATAAGAGGTAAACATTGTCTAGTGCTCGCTTGAGTCTTTAGATACAGTTTATTGTGTGATAGTGTCGATATATATATTTGAGGGACCACATGCAAAACTGGTATATCTGTTTTTGATAGTTTTGAGATAAATGTATTTTAATGATTTATAAGATTCTATATCATGTGTAAAACACACTTCTAAAAAATGGTATATCTGTCTATATACCATTTTTAAAACTAGAATTATTCCGAACTGGTATATCTCACGATATACCATTTTTTCTATACTATTAACAATAAAATAATTTGACTGAGAATGGTATATCTGAAGATATACCATTTGGGTTGGCTAAAGTCTATAAAATGTGTATAGATATACCGGTTTTATAGAAGATAAGTTTCTTGAAGGTGGTATATCTGCAGATATACCATTTTGTTTTCATGATTGTTAAAAGCTGAAATGGTATATTGTAACGTATACCAGTTTTGGAAAAATAAAATTTCACTTTTTTTCAAAAATTTCTTCAAAATTGTTCAAAAAAAGTTCCAAAGATGCACCTTTTCACCCTGAAGACTATGTGCTACCTGCGCAAAATTGGTATATGTTCAGATATACCAGTTTTGCATGTGGTCCCTCAATTTTGCTGTTGTCGTTGTTGAAACTGTGATTGAAATGTCGAGATGTGAAAAGCTGGACACATTTATAGATAAGAGGGGGGGGGGGGGCGGGGAGAGGAGGAACTTTGTATGAAACCTCGTTAAACGTTCAGAACAATTTAATTATGGGGTGAGCGTCGTCGACGCTCAGCTAAGGATTCTGAGTGAATACCTTTTAAATGGTAAGATTTTCGTTAATGATTCTTCTGCAATGATTGACAAGACAAGAAATGGCGGTTAGAACTTCGTTGGATATTACTCCTTCCCTGATTGAATAAAACACATACGGACCACACATTACGAGTTTTTAAATGTTTTTTTTTCAGTGATGACACCAATCCACATGCGAAAAGTCAGTATAGTAAAATCAAAGGCCGTTAGAAACACGATAGCTGAGAAAATGCGAACGGAATAGAATAAAAAATACGATTTAATGTTATGCGCACTGCACCTTTACTTCTCGAGGATCACCTGATTTTAAAAATCTCATAAAATCTTGACATATACTTGACAACCCCAGGCTCGTCATTAAACCCCTACATTAACAGTTAACTCTGTCATTGTATAAGGTCAAATTAGATTCCAGATTCTAGTCAGTGTAGTGGTACTTGCTACTTGTGTTACACTGCACTGGAAGCTGTAATTGTTAATCTGAAAGTTTAAACTTTTAATGTTTCCTAGTGGCCGGTGATTTAAGAACTGGCGTATTTTCGGTGTATAATTAGGCACTTTGCACACAGTTCGCACTAGTGTATTAGAGACTTGAGGGCGGGTGTAGACATAATATGCTCTCTCTACACTCACACTTTACACACCCAGACCATATATATATGTGTAGGTTTTGTTATTAGGGTGTTCAGTTCCAACTTTAGTATTTGTGTTTCGCGTGTTTTCGCTCCTGCCGCTTTTTAGTTTGCGTTATAAAGCGTTCGTTTTTATGTGTAATTTTACTTTTGCACTTCGATACAAGGTGGAAATTCGTTGAAGAGTTTAACAGATTTCTTGTTAATGTTTACTAATCTTGCAATTGGTAGAAATTTACCATGATAAAATATCTTAGAAACGAGGAGCATTTTGAAATTCAAAGTCAACGAAAAAAATTCAAAACGGCCATGCCCACATCGCCAAACAGACAACAGTAATACTATTTGGTCAAATAGCTGGCACACAATTACAATATCTGCAGCCATTATCATACCAGCGGCAAAATTACCCATCCTGCTATTTGCTAACAACACGTTTCAACAAACAAGATTTTAAATTTAGATTGGAACAAAACCGCGACGGGATAAAAATAACTGAAAACTAAATAGGCAGGTACTGGTGACTTGATGTCACGTGGTACGACGCGCGGCATGGAGTTAGGAATATAAGCGTGTAATCACGTGATACTCCACGTGCCACGTGACATTACACGTGCCACGTGATATTACATGTGCCACGTGATATTACACGTGTTGCTGCTACTGTCTGCACATTTTTCGCACTTGGTTTGCTAGATATGTGTTTTAATTGTCATTTCCTTCTGGCAGCTAATCTATTCGTGCAGATAAGTGCAATGATTAGAAATAGGTCAATTAACGAAGGTTGCAAACAATTATATACTTCTGCTTTCTGACGATTATATCTTAACCTGGGAGGTAATTTTCACGTCACTAATCACACGTGAAGGAAACAATGATATTCACTACAAAATATACATTATCTTTGTAAAATAGACATTTTGAGATCGCCATGATCTCATTAGACTATTTCTGTAAAGTGGCACACAACTTGCCAACACTACTGACAGGGTGTGGTTTTATCCACATCCGCGCTACCATCTGACTACCATTAAAATTGCGCCACTTTTTGTCGACCTGATTAAATTCTACTTATCCATAACAGATTTAAATATTTTTTCTTCAGAAATCAGACTTGATTGAAGCATCTTTAAAGAGATTAGTATAATACAAAATAGAGATTCTACAGCCACAAATGCTATAGGAGTTATGGCAATACCCGTAGCGACATACTGATTAAGAAACTAAGGGCACTTAGCCTAAACCACTACACATCGTATAAACAATGTATGCACTGTGTAATTGTAAAATGTACCTACTTAGTTATGAAAAGTAATCTTATGGATGGTATCGAGCTCTATAGTCTACAATATAGCCACAATACGGCCATTGTAACCCAAATACTTCCTCATACGGCCTCTAAAATTTAGCCAGTGATAATTATATGGCCTCTGTTACACGGCCATTAAAGATTAGATTTACCACAGTGATGTACTCGTACGACTGATGACTGTACGCGGTCCGCTAATTACTTAATTACGTTAAGTACTGCACACGAAACAATAAATACCGTACGGTATTAAGATATAAAACGACTCAACTGTAATACGAATGTTGAGAATGGTTTATAGTATATAAGATTAGGTTGCGAGGATTTCTCATTACTGCTCAAAACTGTAGTTGATATATTTCCACTATCTTTGATGTAGCTAATAGTGATAAGATCATGCGTATATAACGCAGGAATGGCAGTATAATAGATTGAATTTGTTTTGTTCGTTTGTTGCTGCCTCTGGTAGGACGCCATCCAGCTTTAAATACTTTCTACAGAGGACGATCTTTTTACTTTATTTTTGTTGTATAAAACAAAAATAAAGTAAAAAGATCTTTCACCTATAGAGTGTACAACTGTACAAATACACTCTGTATTATCTGTTTTGGGGTTTCAAATAAAAGGTACAGTTGACAGATGATGCTTCAGCAAGGAGTAGGAACTGTCTCTTTAGGCACAAACAACATAATATGACCACTGGGTAAATATGAATTCTTCTCGCTGGCCCTTACCTAGGAATCTGTCCCTTTATACCTGAGAATTTGTTACTTCAAGCCAACCCCTCGGTCTCGGTAAGCAATTCTCGGTAAGTAAAGCCATGTTAAACTTCCTCCTGGACAATAGAACGCCAGAAATTTGTCCAATTAAATGATACCTACCTATACATAAAAGGCCAAATTACGGGAAATTTGCACATTCCTGAACAATTTTATGAGATTTTAAGTCGGATATTTCTAAAGAACTAACTCTCCGCAATTTAAGTGATTTGCAGATAGAGCTTATCAAAAGTGCAAACTTTCAAATGTTTAAAATGTGTCACTCCCAAGTAAAGGTCAACAAGCATAGAAAAAAATTAGGAATAAAATATTTGGTTGGTTATCAACTTCAAGTACTAATGTCAATTTGATTTCAGCTGAATAAGCTGCTGTAAATAGAATTTATAACTAATCAAATGTTACAGACAAAATTCCGCTTGTTACAGTCAATTGGTTGAACTGGAGGAAATATTAATAACTCATTACGTCACCCTAGCAAAGCAGTCTAACACACACACGCACACTCCTTTTGCAGCGTGATGTAAAATCTATTAAGAAACAGGGCAGAAAATCAGTAAAAGTAGCAACCAATTACCGCTCGATTACCGCAACTAATAAGGTAATTACAGACACTAATGTAGTAATTATAGCAAGCCACATTCAGAGACAGTGTGCGTACGTTACCGTATATTAAAACGAAACACTTTTATAAATATACCATATCCAGGAAATTGTTTGACAGTGACTCAGTGAGCTAATACTGTATAAGCAAGCTGTTAAACTACAGTCTACATGTACTACACTTATATAGTGTACACTTCAGTTCTTTGTGTTTTTGTGATAGCAGTTCGAGGTTCTGGTCGTCAAGATTCGTGTACTCAGAAATGGTACACGCATGCACTCTAGTTCGACATTTACCTTAGCTCGTTACGTACTGAATTCCGACAAGACAACTTCGACTGTCGAACTACGGTACGCTATACCTGGACTCTAGTTCGACACGAATTTGAACGAAATCAACCAATACAAAGCATCGATGGTTGGTATTTTTATAGCATTGATTATACCATGAAACTTTCCGTTCGTCAGCCTATTTTGAGTGTTTAACTTGTGCGATGTAATATAATAAAGGTTATGATATTTATTAAAATCCAGCACCGAACAAATTGATGAACAAAAGCCATGAAATTAACTTCATTGATTCCAATTGTGTATTTTTTTATACCGTACAGATTCTACCTTATCGGACCTAATTTGGACGAACTTGCCCTGTGAGACTTATTTCTGGTGAAATTAACATCTGTTGTTGCACGCAGCTCTATCAATCATATTGTAATCGTTTCAAACAGTTTTTGGCGTGTTAAAATTCATCATGTATCGAGTAGTCTGGTCAACAAAGCTGAACAGCTCATTCCGACCTAAAAATAACATTATTTAAAACAATTCATCATCAAGCTAGGCAGATCGTAACAATAAAGCGGCAACTCACTGTATAATAGTCGGCGTGTTAATCGCTTATAAGTTTAGCAACAATTAAAATTAAAACCGTCTGAGATACGTTCAGATGTACATAAACTAAATAGTCTTCTCTATAGTATATAGTAAATGCCAGATTTATTTAGTAATTAAGTTCGCATGCATTGATTAATAATGTGTCAGGCCTTTCCAATCAGTGATGTTCAGCTTTACATTAAGAGCTATTAAGGCTTTTATATTGGCATTTGGCTACCGTTAATATTAGGACGCAATGAAACACCGGATTACAAGGTATATATCATGCAT